ACTTCCTCCCTTCCCGCGGCATTTCTTGAGGTGTGGCCAGGGACGCGCCAGCACCCAAGGAAGCCACCTCAAAGCTAGATTCCCAGGTCCTCCCCCCGCCCCCACTGGCCCTGTAGAATCGTTGTCTAAATGTCAGACACTCTCCCCAGGTGATCCAGGGGCGCCGTAAACGTCGGGCTCTCCAAGGGTTTGTGTGCCGAAACACTGGTGTCCAGGGTTACCCGGACCCGCGGCTGAGAAGGGTTGGAGCAGGGGTGGGGGGGGTCGGAGGCGGGGAGCCAGGGGGGGCGCCCCCTACACGGGGGTGTATTCTTTGTTAATGTGGGCGATCGGCCTGCAGGGGGCGCTGTGAGCCTCTGCCATGACGCATACAGCGCTGTCCTGCCCCGACTGGTAACCGCTGGGGAACTTTTAGGAGTTGATCTGAGCCAAACTGACAGCAGTTGCTGGGAAGCGAAGTCTCAGCGGGTTGAGAAAATGCTCCAGAGAATGGCAGTCTTGCAGCTTGTGTTGTGCATTAGAATCAAAGGAAGGAGGGTAAGGAGGGTTATGGGAAAGTCACGGGTGACAGATCAGGGAGAAAGCAAGGTGGGGAAACCCCTGAGACTGGATCAAAAGCAAACTGGAGAGACCCCCTGCCTCTTTTCCCTGGGTGGGTGCAGGGCGATTGACAACGAACCCTTACCGCCTGTAGAGCAGGTGTGTGGGGGTCAAGGTAGCACTGGGAGGGGGGGGTCTGTGCTCTCTGCTGTGGCGGGAGATGGGGAGATGGCGCCCTGAGGGGCCTGGAGAAAGGGGGTCACTCGGATGCACGGAAAGTATGTTACCTTAGACGCACAAAGACAACCGACTGGCTCAGGGAAGGTCAAGGTTGACCTTTGTCAAGGAAGATAGCGGCCTAGGACGTGATTCCCCTCATGACTCACTTTTAGTTGGGAAGTTTTCATTTCAGGCCATGCCAGGTGGGGCCTTAGGTCTCGGAGTTGGTGGGGCCACCGCGCGGGCCTCCCCGGAGCTCGCCGGGTTCAGCGCGTGGCCCCTTTTTCGTCCACACAACAAGCGGGCCTTCCGGGGTGGAGACGCTGAGTTGTCCTGTCTCCAGGATAAAGACGCGTTCGTGACTCGTGGTCTTGACGTAACTCTGACTTCGCTCCCCTCAGAGCTCTCTGTCCCAGTTTTCTCTCTTTGGCCTGTGGGGCCTCCCTGTTGGGGCCCCAGCATTGGGGGGCTGCAGGGCCCCCCGGCTCGTCTGGGCCTCTGAGCAGAGGAGAAGGGTCCGCCCACCCCCACCCCACATCTCCTCTCTCTACTGGCCTGCACCGAATCCCCCAGTATCGAGGGTCCCTGAGGGGAGGCGGCGGAATGATGGGCTGAAGTCCCTTGTTTTTCTGTGCCATTTGCCGCCCCGGACGGAAGCCAACCAGACACTCCCAGTAGGACGCGGGTTAATGGGGCATTTCTGCAGTCAGGATTAAAGGGTGTGAGAGGCGGGCGTCTTGGAAGAGAGGCTAGAATGTAGGCCTGCAAGGGGTGGGCGACTCCAGGGCCCTGGTTTGTCAAGACGAGGCAGGAGGGCCCCCCCGAACACGGTGCACTGCTGTTTTGAATCAGGTCTTCCGCGCCATGTTGCCTCTCTGGGCTCCCCTGGCAAAGCCTGACCCCAGGCAGGAGGCCCCCGGGGCTCCGAGGAAAGAAGGATGATTTACTGATGCTGAGAACAAGGGCCTGGCCCTGGCCGAGGGGCCCCAGGCAAGCCTCTCACCCTCTCTGTGCTCTGGGACGCCCCCTGAGAAAATGAAAACAAAATCTAATCATTTCCGGCTGAGACAGGGGATGAAGGAGAAAGTAGGGGAGAGCAAGGCTGTTTAGGAGCAAAACGTCACCATACGAGCAGTGACCCCCCCCCCCCGCCTCCATTAGCTCACCTCGTGGTCTCATAATACTTTTTATAATTCTGCAGCATCGGAAGGCACCCAGGGGGACAAAACCCAGAGCTAAAATGCAGATTTCTCGACCCTGCGCTGAGGGCTCTGCAGAGAAGCAGGATGAGGGGGCAGCTGTTGGGCGTCTTGTCCCAGCCTCAGGGGAGTGGGTGGCGGGCGGGACAGGCCCAGAGGGGGTGATGGTGCTCGAACCTCAGTGCTTACGGATGGATGACCGAGGGCCTGAGGGCCGTGGTGTGGGGAAGGCAGGGGAATGGAGCCGGGCCGGAGTGGGGGTGCTCAGGGGGGCACCCAGGGCTCTGCGTGGAGCATCCTAGCAGCGTGTGCAGCGGTTCCGAACAGGGGCTCGGAGCCAGCCTGCCGGGCCCTGACCTCCCAGCTCTCTCCACCTCCCGGCTGTGCGACTTGGGTAAAATCGCTGAACCTCTCTGTGCCTCAGTGTTCTCATTTGGAAGAAGGGGGACGAGAATAGCCCTTAGCTGATAGTGCCGCTGGAAGGATTCGCTCATGGGATCTGGGGGGCCTGCTGAGCTCTGTGCCGGGCACAGAGTAAGTGCTCAGCAAACCTCCGCTGCTGTTGCTCCAGGTGTTCTGGGACCACGGACTGGGGGCTCGCTCCCGGTTACTGCCGCCGCCGCCCATCATCCTGTAAGAACAATTTCTAGGGAAAAGGCAGGCGTGGGGGGAGGAGGACGAAGGGAAGGGAGAAGGCCGCTCCCTCCGATCTGGGTCACAGCGGAGCCTGCAGAGCCTGCAGGCTGCTTTTGGCTCTTCCTCTGGCAGAGCGGCTCGCTGCTGAATGGAGCACAAAGGGAAGCCTGCTATTTATAACATCGCGAGTCCCAGTGCAGTGCTTGGAGTGGATGGCCTGTGGGGAAAAGCAGCATCAGGTGGCTGCCAGGGACCTTCTGGAGCCCGGGATGCCCAAGGCCCAGTCCAGGGCTTCTCCCACCCTCGGTGTCCACAGCTGGGGCCCAGCCTGGGGAGGGGAGGGGAGGGTCCAGCTCCATTTGGGTCCCCTGGCTGTGGCTGGAATGGGAACAATACAGTCTTATGTGAAGGAAGGGCAAGGAGCTGACTTCCGGGAGGTGGGATGTGCCCCAGAACCTACCTGAGATCCACATTAGGGTGTTGCCCAGGGGCGGTGGTGGTTAGGCAGCCTTGCTCTTCAGAGTATGCCAGGGGCCAGTGGCATCGTGTGGGGTCACGCGGGAGCTTTCTAGAAATGCAGCACCTCAGGCCCCACCCAGACCTGGTGGTTCAGAATCTGCCTTTGAACAAGATGTGCAGTTGTGCACATGTTAAGTTTGAGACGTGCTCGTGGAAAGCATGTAAGCTTGGGTTCTCGTGTCGGCTCTGCCGCTTCCTAGCTGTATGGCCCTGGGAAAGTCGTCTTACTTCCCTGTTTCCTGGGGTCGGCTGGCTGGCGAAGCACCTCGTGGCATGCCAGGCGGACACTAAGCACGATGTCAGTCTCAGTCACTCTCTGTCACCTGCCAGTCGATGCAGCCTGCCGTTGCTGGACACGGACTTGGGAAGCAGGCCACCCTCACTCCTCCATTCAGTGACTCGCCCATCCTGTAGGGACACTCACGGTGGCCCGGGAGGCACTGGCCCTGGGGACACAGCAGGGACGGGACAGACAAGGTCCCTGTCCTGGGGGAGCTCGTCATCCAGAGGGGCAGCCAGAAGCAGACTCATGACAAACCAATTCCTTAATGCAGATAATCTCACAGTTACCTACCGGTGTGGCTAGTGCTTTGGAGATGTGCAGGGTTGCTGTTGGGGCATGTGAAGTGGGTGGTCAGAAAAAGCGGTGTTTCAGTTGGGATCCGAATGGTAAGGGGAATCTAGCCAGGAAAAGTGCAGGAGTGTGTGTGTGTGTGTGTGTGTGTGTGTGTGAGAGAGAGAGAGAGAGAGAGAGAGAGAGAGAGAGAGAACTAAAGCATGTGGGGGCAAAGGGGGGCTGGATTCCAGGCACAAGGAACAGAGTGTGCAAAGTGCCGCGGCAGATAGAACTGGGACTTGGAGAGGCCGCGTGTAACCACAGCAGTGGTTCTCGACCTGGAGCTTGCATCCAAACTCTCCGGACGGCTTGTGAAAACAGATTGCTGGGCGCCCCCCTCAGAGTCTCTGATTCCGCAGGTCTGGGGCGGGGCCCAATAATCTGCATTTCTAAGAAGCTCCCAGGGGATGCACATGCAGAGGATAAAGACCCTGGGAGAACCACTGAACTGCAGCCTTGAAAGCCAGACCCGGAGGGAGAAGGGGTTTGAGGTTCCACTGGGGGCCAGACCACATAGGGTCACGGGGCCTCATGGAATGAGCAGCTTTTCGAGTGGAGCGGGAAGGTCATGGTCAGATTCGTGTTTTAGGAATAGGGGCCCTGGCTGTGGTGGGGAGACCAGGCTGTACGGGCTGGGAACGTTGGCAGGCCCACTGGGAAGCAGGTGCTGCGGTCGGCCAGCGTAGATGGCAGCGGCTCGGTTGAGGTGAGGATGGAGGGACATGGGTGGGTTCCAGCAACGTGAGGGAGTGGGGCACAGCAGGTTCAGGTCGGGTCCTTGCGTATCAGGGGGGGAGGGGCTCAAGGAAGCCCCCAGATGCCGGCTTGAGCAAGCTAGCAGCCGGTGGGGCCATTTGCTGAGAATGGGGACATGGGTGCTGGGGGTGGGGGGTGGGGAGCAGCCTGGATGAGACTTCAGACAGATGCACAGGCTCGAGGTGCCTGTGAAGACGCCATGCCGACAAGTTGATAAACGGACCTGGAGCCCAGAGGCGGTTTCCTAGAAGAAGTGACATGAAATAGGACTAGATCAATTCTTCATCGGAAGTCAGTAGAACAGATGGGCTTTGGGGGATCTGGGAGGGGCTCCGTGATTTTCTGAAAATGCATCAGACTTCATGTGCCTGTTTCTTGGGGAGGGTCCGAGAGGCCTCATCAGACACCTAAGAGTCCATGACTCTGAGAAGGTTAAGACTACCGGCCTGTTACTGTGGGAGAGGCAGGTGGTCTCTGGTCCTCTCAGGCCCTCAGTGCCCTGTCTCTGCTTCCAGGCGCCTGGTGGACCGTCTGGAGAACATGAGGAAGAACGTGGCCGGGGACGGGGTGAACCGCTGCATCCTGTGTGGAGAGCAGCTGGGGATGCTGGGCTCTGCCTGCGTGGTGTGTGAGGACTGTAAGAAGGTACCGTCACCCTCCTCTTCCCCGAATCCCTGCTCCTCACACGCAGAGGGGCTAGGTCTGGGCTCAAGCCTTGGGGGGCCCTGGCTCTTGGGAATGGAGCTTGGGTCCTGAAGGGTAGTTGCCGGAGTGTGATTCCTTGTGAGATACTGTCATGCCCAGCTGTCTCCCGAGGTGACCCTGGTCCTGGTTCCTCCCGTGGAAGTCCCTGTGACCCTGCTGTCCCCTCAGAGCTCAGCTCCGTCCAGAATGAACTTGGGAGCTCAACTGAGGTAGGACACGAGCTGTGGCAGAGCCTGCAAGTATCCAGGTTGTGGCCTAGCAAGTCCCATGTCACACTGAAGAGTACATCGGGCACACATCTATACATGTGTGTACATGGAAGGCTAACCCAACATTCTCTTACCCTGAGTTATAGTTCAAGTGACTTAGAAAGCCCCTTTCCAGCTGAGTTAGGACCACTGGGCTTCGAGAGCCTTCATTCTTGAGGCTGGGCAGGGGGCCTTGTGCTCCTCTACCCTGTGCCCTCTCCTCAGCTGTGTGTACTTCACAATTCCAGGGCAGAGCCAGAACTGTGTCCTTGGGTCAGCCTGATTCCCAGGACAGGAGTTCAGGAGAGTGATGCAACTGGAAACATCCATAATGTCACTTGGCACCCCCTGCTTAGAGTCCCACTTAGCATTTAGATGGAATACTGAGGAAAGTTGATCTATTCCACACACATACACACACAAAAAAAACCCTTGTCTGCTGCAGGCAGCCAAGAGTGAGAATTTGGTGATCTGTTAGGTTTTTCTATTTGCTTTGACTTCCAGGAAACAGCCAAAAGTGTAACGTCCCATCATGCAGTCACGGCGTCTGCTCAGAAAACTTCTTTCTCTTCACTGAAGCATTGAAACTGTAGTCATAGCCTAGGTTGTCTCAGGTTTACTTGAAAAGAAAGAAGGAATAAATTAATAAGCAATATGGATGTATAGCTTTTCCTCTTTGAAAATCACGTCCATTGTCTCCTCTGTATGGATGCTGAAAACCCAGACCCCCCAGGGAGCCTTGGAGAATTTCTTTATCCAGTGTTTGGGAATGACTCCCATTCTTGTTATTAGAAATTAAGACTCAGGTTGGAAATGTATTCTAACTGGCCTTGGTCATGGGCAGGAGGTGAGAGAAGGAAAGTTCTAGCTCTTCACAATGGGGCTCCATCATCGCCCTTTCCAGACACCTGCCCTAATCACTAGCAGCTCGCAGCCTAGTGTATCTGAGTGTGCACTGGCCCATATTTCGTCCCCAGAATGTCTGTACCAAGTGTGGGGTGGAGACCTCCAACAACCGCCCGCATCCCGTGTGGCTCTGCAAAATCTGCCTGGAGCAGAGGGAGGTGAGTAGACTTGTCCTGTTGGGCTTTTTGAGCGCCCGCCCTTTTTCATCCAATTCCCTCTCCCTCCCTAGAACCAAGAGGTCAAGGTGGCAGGTGGGAGCTGGAGGACCTGGTCAGGGATGTGCCTTAAGGGGTGATTATGGAAGGAAGCAGCTCAGCTGTGAACACTGGCAGAACACCTCCTGGGTGCCGGAGCAGATTTACTTCTTCCTCTCCTAGTTCTCTCCCTGGTAGCAGGGCGCGGCACATCATAAGTAAGACTTGGAAGACTTGGTGCCTGGTCTTTGTCCTTGCACCCTCTGGTTGTATAACCTTCTACAAGTTCACACCTTCGTGATGTCCAGCTTTCTCCATCAGGAAAATGGGTCTAGCCAGGCCCTCTCTGTTGAGTGGTCAGGGTGGCGTGGGAATCACATAGAAATAGTGAAAGACTGTATCCTAGTAAGAAAAGTGCGCCAGCTATGGTCAGGGTGCTTAGGGAAGGGAGCAAGGCCCAAAAGTGACACTCACAAAGGCAGGGGCCATCGTGTGTGGCTGCCTTGTCATCACCCTCTACCTCTCCTCCCCAAGGTGTGGAAGCGCTCTGGAGCCTGGTTCTTCAAGGGCTTCCCCAAGCAGGTCCTCCCACAGCCGATGCCCATAAGGAAGCCCAAGGCCCAGCAGGCTGCCAGTGAGCCCACTGGCCCTGAGCAGCCCACCCCTGAGCCCACGCACACCGCCCGGGCTCCGACTCGAGGTAAGACCCTCCCTCCAAAAAAAAAAACCCCACCAAAAATAGAAGCAAAACTTCTACTTTCAGGACCAAGGACAGCTCTCGGCTAACTGGTCTACCTGGAGCGCATCCTGATATGTTTGCGTTTCTGCCCATTTGGTGGAGAGCCAGCCTCTGGGCTCGGGTCTAGGAATCCCACATGGCCTCCACAGCTCACCAACAAGGCAGCACAGAGAACTCTTCAACAGTCTCAGGCTTCCAAAAGCCTTTGTTGTCATTTTTGATGGAGCATTTAAGGGTACAACAGAGGCAGAAATTAAAATTAGGAACGGAGAGAGACTCACAACCAAAACACACCGGAGCCTGGGGGTGCATTTGAGGTTTGCTGAGGCAGCCCTCCTTGCCCCTGATATTTCTTCTTCAACTATCAGCAAATCGGAAATTGGACTAATTAAAAGTGAGAGAGGAATAGAGAGGAAATCAGTAAAAGAAAATTACCACTACTGCGGATATTATCATTGTTGTCCCAGTATTAATTATTAAAGTGATGATTAAAAGGGAGAGGCAAGACCATACAGAGAAGAAAAGGCAACCGCAGTGAACACACATTAACTGAATGAGACCACAAGGACTGCCCGGATAAAGACCCTGCAGCAACCTCGCTTCACACTGAGGGGTCATTTCTGGTCTGAAGGAAGGCTCTGGGGTTGCAAGCAGCTCTTCTGGGAGGAAGACCTTGAAAACCGATGTGCCCCACTGTGTCTCCTGGAGCTTCCTAATGTGCCCAGCACAGGGCCTGGCACTCGAAAGGCATCAACAAACCCCTCCCTCCCTGACAAGGCACGAGCGATTTCTCCTCCCTGCAGAGAGTTACCACGTGGCCAGTGTCCTCTGCATCCCTGAGCAGTCCCCATTTCTGCCTGTAGAGCATCCTTCTTCCTGGAGAAGCATCGCTCCCTCTAGGCCAAGAAGGTCGGACAGCCTCACTGCCAAGGTCTTGAAGGTCTGACGACAGGAGGCCCTGGATCTGAATTCCAGCTCTGCCACTTGCTGGCCAGGCAAGCTCGGGCGAGGGGCCTCGCCTCACTGAGATGCGTCTCTCAGCTACAGCGTGGGGCAAAAGTGGGTTTACGGTCGTGAGGACGCAAAACACGGAGTTTTTTTCCGGTATTGTCATTTATTAATTATTGTATTATTTTCCATAGGAACAGCTTCTGCCCCACCCTGTAGAAGATGGGGCTAATAACTCATTGGGTTAGGTTGAGGATCCAGTGAGACACCACATGTAAAGTGCTTTGCGGAGCACAGCACCTAGTAAATGACATACGTTAGTCACCTGTACATGGACACGGACACACACACATGTAAGCAGTATGAACTAGATAAACTCTGGACACAACAGATAACGCTGGCAGTGCGGTCGATGGAACCCCCATTCAGTTCACTAGAAAGAAGTAGCATCACCAGCATTGCGTAGGGACATCTACGCAATGCTGTCAGAGTGACATCCAGTGCTGGTGACTGTGTGGGGACACGGATGCTCTCTACACTGTCGGTAGGACTGTGCGTCACCTCCAGCCCTTCGGAAAGTCATGTGGCAGAACTCATTAAGATCTGCAATGCGATGCCCTTCGATTCACCCGTTCCCCTCTGGGAACACATCTAATAGCAACACAGGAGCATGGACGAGATATGTGTACATTCATTGCGTCATTATTTATGGCAGGAAATCACTGGGAGAACCTACGTGTTCGTTCATAGGGGGCTTGTTGAGCGGATTATAGTCCCTCCACACCTTGCTGTATTAGGCGTTATTTAAGATGGAATGAAGCCAATGTCTTCTAGAGATTTGGAGTTAAGTCCAGGATGTGTGCTTTCTGTATTCTTTAAACCAACACGCACAGAGCAGATGAGTCCCAGGCTCCGTCCTATGCCCTGGAGATAGAGCGGCGTATGGAGCAGACCGAGGTCCCCGCCTTCACGCAGCTGAAATTCTAGTGGGAGAAGCAGATGCTCAGCAAACCGCCAACACAAATAAAATATAAGATCCAACAGAGCTAAATAAGCGCTGCGAATAGAAGTGAGGCGGGCGAAGGGGGGAGAGAGGGACAGGAGGCTCCGTTGTGGATGGGATGGCCAGGGAAGGGCTGTCCGAGGACGCTCTTTGGGGGGCAAATGTGACTGAAGTGGCGGAGAGGACCCCTAGGGCCTTTGGGACTGTTGTGTGCAGAGGGCTTAAGGCCAGAGCGTGCTTGGCGCGCCCTGGGAAAGGTCAGACCGAGAGAACGCAGCCCGTCTGGAAGGGGATGGAGCTAGCGATCCCTGTTCAGTCGTTTTCAGCCTGTGCGTGCTCACAGGTGTTTGTGCGTGCTCACAGGTGTTTGTGCGTGCACAGGAAGTAGGTGCGATTGCAAACAGAAACTACACCTAAGGGGAGGTTGGGAGGGGAGTTTTAATTTTAAAAAGGACTTGGGCCCTGGCTGGCATAGCTCAGTGGATTGGGTGCGGGCTGCAAACCAAAGTGTCGCAGGTTTGATTCCTAGTCAGGGCACATGCCTGGGTTGCAGGCCACGGCCCCCAGCAACCGCACATTGATGTTTCTCTCTCTCTCTCTCTCTTTCTCCCTCCCTTCCCTCTCTAAAAATAAATAAATGAAACCTTTAAAAAATGTAAAAAAAATAAAAAATGAAGAAATATGCTTAATAAAAAAAAAGGACTTGGGAGTGGTGGATGGGCCCCTTTGTGGGCTCAAGTGATGGCCCCCCCAGGTGCCATTCAGCAAGTCCTCCCTGTCCTTTTTCTCCCCCTGCAGGTGACGCTGAAGACAGAAGGGGCCCAGGTCAGAAGCCAGGTGGGTTCCCCCAGCTCTGGCTCCTACTTCGAGGGACAGGGGCCCTTTCACCCCATCCCCCCATTGCACTTTCTCTATTCAACTCATGCCTTTCCTTCCAGGCCCCGAGCCGGCCTCTGCTCCTGGGCGAGGGAGCTACGGGCCGCCTGTGCGCCGGGCCTCGGAGGCACGGATGAGCGCGTCCAGCCGGGACTCGGAGAGCTGGGGCCAGGGCCAGGGCCAGGGCCACGGCGGGGCGGCCGGGGACTCCAGCCGCAGCCCGGCAGGTGAGAGAGGGGGGCAGATCCAGGCAGGCTCCCCGGGTGAGGAGAGTCAGGAAGATGGGGAGGATGGTGTTTGTATCCATGTCACCCACTCAGTACTTATCGAGTGCCTGCCGTGGGCCGCGCTCCGTTCCAGGGGCTGGTTCTCGCCTGTGGCAGAGGAGGGACGGCGTCCAGAATGATTCTGACACCAGACAGCTACCATGTTGGTTCTGTCCTTTCTTCCTCTAATGCCATGTGTAAGAAAAAGTGTGATTTTTTTTTTTTGCCCTCCTCCAAAAAAACTCTGGGGGGGGGCCCTTGGCATTGAGCCAGATAAGGATGCTGCCCTCTCACGGACCTGACGGAGATCAGAGGGGCGGGTCAGCATGGCCAGGATGCCCCCCGGGGGTGCTCTCATGGTGCTGGGCACCCAGCACCTCAGGCCTCATTCTTGGTGCATTTGCTCAGCAAGAGTGCCCACTGGTGGGAGCCCAGGAATCCTCGGACTCGGGACGAAACACCTCCTGGCCTGGGGAGATCTGCGTCCCAAGCCCTGTGTGAGACCTTCGCCCTCCCTTCCTCGGGCAGCGAGGTCACGAGACTGGGTGTGGGCTGGATGGGCTGACTGTTGGTTCCCCCGCAGACCTCTGCCCTTCTCTTTCTGGAGAGCGGGCTCCTGGCCTCGTGCCTAGTTCCTAGGTCCTCCTCTTGGCAGGAGAGCTGGGCAGTAGCTTCCAATGGTCTCAAACAGGCCCTGGAGACCAGCAGCCTGAGTTCAAACCCTGGCTCTGCTGCAGACCAACCAGGAAACACCGGATGAACGCCTCAACCCCTCTGGGCCTCGTTTCCCCCGTTTAGAAAATGGAGATAATAAAAGTGCCCACCTCATGGGGTGTAGAGATTAAATAAGTCCTATGCGTGAAGTCCCTGGCACGTGGCAAGTGTTAAACGAATGTTGTCTTGTTGTTATCAAGTAGGTAGCATTGTCTCTGTGAGGCCCCTGAAGTTCAGAGAGGGAGAGTGACCAGCCCACAGTCACACAGCTTATGCAAGAGAACAGTCAGATGCAAAGCTAGGTCCGTGTGAAGAGACAGATCGGGTTCTTTCAATAACAATAAAATAAAACCAACACCTGCCAGGTGTGGCGTGTTCACACACGCCAGGTGCTGTTCTGAGCACTCCGCATGTGTTGTATCGCTGCACCTGCACCACACGCTCTGCGCCGGCACTGTCATCCCCCTTTAACAGATGCGGAGACCGAGGCTCAGAGGGGAGAGGTATTTGTGGCAGCTCACACAGGTGGAGGCAACATCACAGAACCTGTGCTTTTCAACAACACCCAGGCGGCAGCCGTGACCTGCCCAGGGGTCTGAGTGGTGGAGAGAGAGAATGTTCTCAGAGACAGAATCTGAAGGAGCTGAGAGTACTGGGAGCTGCACGCAAACCCAGAAGGTTTTGCCTCGTGCCAGCCGGCCAGTCCCAGCTTCTTTCTGCTTCCTCTGTGTGCGCGTGTGTAACGTGACAAGCTGTTTCCCTTTCTTTCTCCTCCAGGCTTGCGACGGGCCAACTCAGTCCAGGCCTCCAGACCGGCCCCAGCCTCAGTGCAGAGCCCGGCGCCTCCTCAGCCCGGGCAGCCAGGTACCTGCCACCTGCTGGGCCACCCAGGCTGTCATGTCACTCAGTGGTGACCCCGGCTCCTCCCATCCTCGCCGGGAGAGCCCCGGCTTTCTGCCAAGCTGCAGCCACCACCGAATGCTAAGCTCTTCTAAGACCCTTGGAATGAGTAACTCGCGGGGCAGGAGAGGGCATCTTACCCACCTAATGCAAGGAGCGACAGCGCCTCACTCCTCAGTGTGTCCAGGCCCCAAGGGTCGTCGTCATCTTTCCTGCATGCTCCCCCCACCCGCCCTCTTATTTCCTTGATACCTGTCTTCACATTGACTCGCTTTCCGCACGTAACTGCGGACTGGCCATCACAACCCTCTCAAGGAAAATGGAAGGGCATCAGGCTTTAATAACATGACAGCTGTCCCCAGAGGGTTGTGTGAGACTCAGGAAGAAGTGGTGAGCAAAGAGATGGGTACCGTGGGGACCTCTGAACAAACGTGGCTTGTGAAAGACAAAGGAAGTCTTGCCTAATTGGCGTGGTTCCGGTTCCTGGTGGTAAGAGGGCCCTGTGATGGCGGCGTGAATGGGGAACCAAGACCCCGTACCGTGAGGAGAAAGGGTAAAGGGACCCCAGGCTGCAGGGCTCCCAATAACAGCAACGTGCTGTCTGCACGTCCTGGGGGCCGGAAGTCTGAGCTCCAGGTGTCGGCGGAGTGGGTTCCTTCTGAGGCTGAAAGGGAGAATCGGTCTCCTTCCTCCTTAGCTCCCCGTGGCCTCGGGCACGGCATTCTCCCTGCGTCTTCTCATCCTCCTCCTCCTCTCTGCCTGTCTCTCTCTGTGTCCAAATGTCTCCTCTTTACAAGGACACAGTCACGTCAGATTAGGGCCCACCCTAGTGACCTCATCTGAACTTGACCATCCGCCAAGACCTTCTTTCACGTAAGGTCACAGTCACTGGGCCTGAGGACCTGAATGTCTTTCGGGGAACACAGTCCGACCCATGCATGGCAGAGGGCACCACGGTTAACGTGATGAAAATTAAACACTGCAGTGAAATTCTCCGTCCTCTGGCCTAAGACGGTTCCGAGCCTGAGGCCTGTGCACTTGTGTTCAAAAGGGAAATTGTCCAAGTGTGGAGAGGGGTGAGGGACCAAGGCGCACGCAAGTGAGACTTTCTGGGGTCGGCATTGAAGGGCAATGGTGACTTTCTCGCGTGCTGTGGAATGCAGTTTCATGCCCTGTCCCTGTGGGTCCTCCTCCAGCCCCCGCACCCCCCTCTGTGGGGAATGAAGTTGTAGAGACTCCACAGACCAGGACCAACCCTGCAGCATGGATGGATTCGGAGCGTAAACTTGCACAGCCCCTCGCAAACAGAGCCCACCCCATTCCCTCATCAGCTTCGTGGTGGCCGGGAGGGGCGTCTCACGGAGCAGGAAGCTGAGGCCCAGGAGGGGAGCACTGGGGCTTGAACCCAGGCCTTCCTGGCCCCAGAGTCCCCCACGGGACCTCTGCACATCGCCTGCTACCCCTGGGCCTGTGTCCATGCCCAGGGAACGTGGGTGGGCACCCAAATGATACCAGCTTCTCCGCTCTCTCTTTCCCCCACGCAGGGCCCCCAGGAGGCAGCAGGCCCGGCCCTGGGCCAGCCGGACGCTTTCCTGACCAGAGACCAGGCAAGTGCCCGCTTCCTCCCTGGCCCGCCCAAGCCACCGCCTCTCCCCCATCCAGTCTGCACCCTGAGCCCCACCTGACGAGCTCTAAGCTGCCCCATTCCCGGGTCCCCGAACTCTAGACGGATGGACAACGGCAGCATGTGGAGTGGCTGAGAGCACACCCCGCCTGGGTTCAAATCCCTGCTCCACCCCTCCCGGCTCTGTGACCCTGGGCAGGCCCCTTACCCCCCCTGAGCCTGCTTCCTCACCTCTAAAACGGGAGTGACAGCAGGGCCTGCCCTTCAGAGTTGTCACGAGGATTAAACAGACGAACACGCATAAAACCCTAGCACTCGGCCCGGAATGCATTAAGACCACGCTAGGTGACAGTGACTATTGTGTAGGCTACACAGGCCTCATCATCATCACATGTCACCGCGGCTACAGCGAGGTCATGGTTTTCTAATGCACCAGGGACAATTTTAGGTGCCGTGTTAGATAATTTCTTAAATAATAGCTGCTACTCCTTGAGTGCCTTCAGGGACTGTAGTCCCCACTTTACAGATGGGGCCGCTGGGGCTCGGAGACACTGAGTGACTCGCCCTCTGTCACTCTCCTGCCCTCTCCCCGTCCCCTGCAGAGGTGGCTCCCGGCGACCCCGGCTACACAGGGGCCACTGCCCCAGCCCGGGAGGAGAGACCTGCAGGGGTCGGAGCCAGGGAGGACAGAGCGGGCCACCCACCGGGCCCCTATTCCCAAGTGTCTGCCGCTGCCCCCCAGCCCGCCGCCGCCCCTGCCCGGCAGCCCCCACCCGCGGAGGACGACGAGGAAGAAGCCAACAGCTACGATTCGGATGAAGCAAGTAGGTGGCACTTAAGGGGGCGGGGGGGAGTGTCTGGGAAAAACTCCGCAGGGTCCCCCCCGGGGGTATAGGAGGGCTCCAGGGGCAGCCCCATGCACCCCTCCCGGCCCCCCAACATGCTAGATGTGACGCATGCAGTGACCACGCTGCAGAAATACAAATTCGTGTCACTGGATTCACCAGAGGACGTCAGCTTTTCACACAGTAGGTGCCACATCCACACGTTTTATTGTCGTGAAAGACATCCCAGCCGCCAATCACGTTATTGTAAAGGGTGCAGTTCCGCCGCATCCAGCTGGTCGCTCCTCAGCACGTCACACGTCGCACATGGGATGTGGTCCCCAGGCCCAGCACTCCACTCCTGGGTGTGGTGTGTCTGTGTCTTAGCCCTTTCCAGCACCCCGTAATGCCCGTCTTCTAAAACTCATTCTAACCCGTTTAAAAATCCCTGGATGTTTCCTCTTACACCCATCCACTCAGTGATGCATAAAGTGCCTGTTTTTACACTCCGCCACTCAGACCCCGAGTCCCAGGGACACACACACACACACACACACACACGCCCAGTGTCACTTCTCCCGAGTGTGGCCAGAGCAGCAGAGGAGAGAGGGGCTGGGGGGGGAGGGGCACAGACGGGCAGTGGCTGCACCTGGTGCGTGTCGCGGGGCTGGGCCCGCTCCAAGAGCTCCAGGTCAGATGGAGAGACTGCACCTGCATCGAGGGCTGTCATCGGAGGCGTGGTTTTGGCCCATCGTGTCCCCTCGTCTCGTTGTAAAATGAGAAGCAGAATACTGCCTCTTATACGGGACTGACGGGGCAGGAAACTGAGGCACCCCCTGGGAAAGTGCGTGGTGAAGTGGGAATCTCCATTATGTAGTGCCAAACACACCTGAGGAATTAGCATCATGTGCGTGCACGCACGCCGGGGGGGACCGTGGTCCACGCTTGCTGAGCACTCGTTCCGTGCGGGCACTTTTCTCAGTGCGCCCCTGGCACGTGCTCACGTCACTTCCCGCGGAGCCCGGGGATGGTTGCTTCTCCTGCTCCCATTTCACAGGGAGGGAGACCGAGGATCCGAGAGGTTCCAACTCACGCGGCTGGTGAGCGGAGGGGCTGCCAGTCCATCTCACTGCTGTGGCGGATCAGAGGCCAGAGCTGGGTGACCTGTCAGCTGTCCCCTCCGTCCCCATGTTCTCCCGTGGGTCATGGGTCTGCGGTCTGAGGGGAAAGGAGTCAGGGAATCCACGTCGCCTTGTCAACCAGAGGCCGTTTCCACTCTGGAAGCGTTTCCTGTCTATCCCACCTGTCTGCCATTCCGCATCCTTGCCCCCTGGCCCTTCTGCCTGGGACAGCGGCCACCGCTTTTTCCATGTGCCTGACGTGTCCCTTCACTGGCCCGTCATACATGGTCCCTCCCAGCCTGCATCCATCCTGTTATGGGCTGTCCACAGTGGTCCCTAACAAGCCCACCTCCAGGTTCCTCACTCACTCCTCTCTTGTTTATGTGTATTTATTGCACACCTACTAAGCGCCCCAAACTGTTCTAGGCACTAGGAATACCATGACAAAAAAAATGGCAGACAAGACAGCTAATCTGAGGAACTAACGTTCTCGTGGAGAGAAATAGCTGACGTGCCAGTGAGTTCACTGCCAACAGACACAGAGCACCTGAAGGAAGTAGAGCAGGGCAGATGACTGTGAGGGCGGCTGCTTTGGGTGGAGTGATCGGGGGGGCTTGTCCGAGGAGGTGATATCCAAGCTGAGGCATGGATCATGAGAAGGCGCCAGCCATGTGAGGATCTAGAGGGGGAGCATTCCAGGCAGCGGCAACAGCACGTGCTAAGACTCCGCCAGCAAGTAAGTGAGCAGGGACTGCATCCCCTGCACTGCGCCCCGCTCAGACACAGCCGTGAGCAGGACAAGCACAGCCCTTGCCCTCCGGATCTTTCCGTCCGGCAGGACAGGGAGTCATTAACTAGGCGAAGTCATTGACGAATCGTTCACGGACCACAGCTGGGCCGAGGGTCTACCAGTGTGGGGTGTCCAGAGCAGGGACCGAGTCTCCTTCTCTTCTGTAGGTTCAATGCCTAGCCCATCCAGGGCATGTTCTTAGTGCTCCCTGTTTGTTGAATGACTGAATGAATGTTCTCTTGGTTCCTGCCTCTGCCCCCTCCAGCCACCCTGGGTGCCCTGGAGTTCAGCCTTCTCTATGACCAGGATAACAGCTCCCTGCACTGCACCATCATAAAGGCCAAGGTGGGTGAGGGACCCCTCAGGCTGCTCTGGCACCTCTAGGGGGCGTGGGGTGGACATGGGTTACCAGGCTCCGGTCTGTTGCCTTGCCTACCTGTGGCAATGGCAGTGAAGAGAAAGAGGCAGAAGTTCACCACAGCCAGGATCCTGGGGGCCTGCGTCCTCTGGGGATGGCCCCGGTGCGGGGGGTAATTTAACGGACAGCTGCCTCCCCGGGGCAGAGGCCGCTGAGAGCTCTGGAGGGGACGCGGAGGTGCTGCCTGCCCGGGGGGCAACAGCAGCCTGATTTCACAGCTGACACAGCCACAGAAGGCTCCTTCGGCAGGTGTGGCCCTGAAGCTGGAGCGGCAGCCCGAGTCAGCCCATTGGTGCAGACACAGGCACACTAACGCAGGCTTCCGAGGGGGCAGGAAAGGCAGGCCCAGGTGGCAGAGCCTCCCCACCCTGCCAGCTCTGGGGGAGTGCCCCGACCAAATCCCAGACCCTGAGGAAAGCCGGTGCTGTCCGTGCAAATACCAGCAAGTACCTGACTAGGATTCCTGCCCCACCCCAACACACACACCACCCCAAATCTGATCCAGGTAGAACAAGCAAAGCCCAGGAACCAGACTGCCTGGGTTCAAATACAGCTTGGCTGCTTCCTAGCTGTGTGATTTGGGGGAAGTTACTTAACCTCTCTGTGCCTCAGTGTGTCCATTTGCAACTGGGGGGTGACAAAGCATCTCTCCCTTAGAGATGACTAATTATTAAATGGAAGGTGGCCACGGGCTCCGGTTTTCTCAGGACAGTCCCCATCTGTGCCTGTTGCTTCGCTGTAATAATGACGGACTCCCCCTCACTCACAACATGCCCGGGTTTGGATGACAGATGAGGCGTGAAATGCGTAACACCACTGCTAGGTCAACACGCCCAGGTCACTGCTTCAGCAAGCATGTCCTGGGCGCCTCTTATGTGTCGGTCACTGTGGCGGCACTTAGGTGCGTCTAGCCCCCTCCCCCAGATAACACAGTGAGGTGAGTACCTACAAGGTCTCGTTTCACCTTTACGGGAACCTCGGAGGTGGGGAGCATCTTTAGCCCCAATGCACAGATGGGAAAACTGAGGCTCAGAGCGTCAAAGCCCAAGGTCACATGGCTGGTGAAGGGCAGAGCCAGACTGGAGTCCAGATGCAACAGTCTCTGGCTCCAGGTCCTTAACCCTTCTTTCACGCAGCCTCCTTCTCCGACTCCAGAGATGGGGACGGGGGTACAGGGACCCCCAAGCCTCAGGGGCTGGCCTGGCAAGGGAGAGCAGAGAGCTTTCTGAGATGCTGGGGGATGGTGGTGACTTTGGTGAACGAGTGAGCGGGCCCCACTCAAAGACATTCAAATTTTAAAGGCAGAGTACGTGTCCATTTGTAACCTCGCAATCCGAACGGTCATCCCAGAAACACTCCTTAAACACCTACTGTCTGGCGGGCACCGCCCCAGATACTGGGGCTGCCACAGTAAGCAAGAGTAGGCCCCGCCCTCCGGGACGGCCCCTGAGAAACTGGCAAAAACCCATCACTGTAGCATCTCCTGAGTATTGTAAACCCCCTGGGGCTTTTTACAGGTTACTTTGCCTCGTTTAATCTTCGCAGCAGCCTATGAGGAAGGGTCTATCATCGTTCCCATGTTACAGATGGGGAAGCTGAGGCACGGGGAGATTCAATGGCTTGCCCAGATCACACCGCCAGGAAGGGGTGGCGCTGGGATTTGAACCAGTGCGGTCCAGCTCTAAAGCCTGTGTTCTCACCCACTAGGTGGCCCTGCCACTCTCCCCACTTTGCGGCCTCCTCTCCCAGCTAGGAGTAGCCAGCGCTGTCCGCACGTCCTAGGGCCAGGCCCAGAGCTCTGACTTCACAGGCGAGACCTCCTTTAATCCCTCCAAGAACCCCACGAAGCACAGGGGCTGTGATGGGCCCCATTGAACAGAGGAGGAAGCCGAGGTCTAAGGAAATCACAGGACATGATACCTGGGATTCGAGATTAGTGCTGGGCGAGGGGACAGTGGGTGCCTAGAGCTGGGACACCTGTCCTGGCCTGGGCGTGGGGAGAGGGCTAGCGTGTGACTGAACCCCAGGAACTTTGGAGTCGCTTGTGTTAACAAACCCCACTTAACTCCCACCCCCAACAAACTCCCTGCCTCCCATCCCGGGGTCTCATTTGACCCTCATCCCAGCCCTGGGAAGGAGGCCAGACAGAGACTGTGGTCCCCAGCATCTGGATGGGGAAACTGAGGTCTCAGGAGGGAGGGCAGGGGCCGGGACCAGAACCCAGGCCTCCTTCCCCCACCTCTCCTGCTCTCCTGCCCTTCCTGTTCTGGGACGCCTCCTCCCGTCCTACGGGTAGCCATCCAGCCTCAATGGGGCCGTTACTGTGTGCCGGGCACTGTGCCGGGCACTCTCCAGGTGAAGTCGTGTGCAAGTCTCACCCGTGCGTGGAGCAGGTACTGTTCTCGTCCCGTTTGACCTGTGAGGAACACGAGGCTCAGGCAGGCTCAGCAACGTGCCAGAGGCCACACAGCCAGGAAGTGACGTGACCAGGTTTTAAGCGCTGTCTGCCCAATCCCAGAGCTCTTTCCACGACCTACCGCGCCTCTCTTCTCTCTCTCCAGGAGAGGAAGCACCTGGGGTAGGCCGATGGGCAGGCAGATGCCATGGGCTGCACCCAGCGCCCGTGACAGCTGAGTGGCCAGGCCTCCAAGGCCCTCACACGGCCACCTTTTCTCTTGCAGGGACTGAAGCCCATGGACTCCAACGGCTTGGCCGATCCCTACGTTAAGCTGCACCTCCTGCCGGGAGCCAGCAAGGTACCATATGGCCTGGGCCTCTTGGCAGGCCGGGCACACGGGCCCTGGCAGCCACCCAGGGTTCCCAGCTCTGAGCCTAAAATAACCCTTTCTGCCCCCAAACCCCTCCCTCCCTGAGTGGCGGAGTCCTTGCAAGGGCTGGGGGTGGGCCAGGGGTCCCACCCACTTCTCCAGCCCAGATGCCTGGCATCCAGGAGCTTCCGAAGGCCAGGAGAGAAGCAGACGCCCCGATGGTGCTCTTCGCCTGCTCCAGTACCTTCTGTGGCTCCCCAGTGCTGAGCATGGCCCCTCTCCCCTCCCACTTGATGCCCAACCAAGCACTCCTTCCCTCTCGATAGGAATGAAGAACACTCTCCAGGCTTCAGGGCTCAGCACTTGAGATCATTAATGTTCTGTCACTGAGAGAAAGGGTCCACCCCCCCAACCTGCTTTCTCTCCCCGGGCAGCTCACCTGACATTGGCTTTGCCCTGGGGAGGAAAGGTGGGGTTAGACCTCCTCTCCTTGGGTGGGCCCACTCAGAGCACGTGGCTGCAGAGTGCCTCCTGGGGTTTGACTTTGGGCTTTGTCCTGTGAATTAGATGAGGATGTTCTCAATGCAAGGGGGACCTGCCCTTGGTTGCGTGGCCTTAGGAAAGTGTGTGTTAAAAATCTCTGCAAGTGTCAAATGCCCATAAGACACAAGAGGCGTGCACACAGACACTCGTACACACATGCACTGTATCTTCTCTGTGTTTGGATCAAGAAATAACGGTCCCTCACCTGGCCGTGGCCAAACTGTGAAGTATTTGGCCCCTACTACTTCTAACTCCCCAGTGACATTTGCTTCTCTCTAAGCACTCTCCTTTGCTTACTCCTAAATCCAAACTTGCTTTGCCAAGGAATCCAGTGAGTCATTTACATGTTAGTATGAATTAGATTTGTCACCAGACCACTCTTCTGGGTATAGTATATTTCTAGCCTTCTCTCTTAGAGTGAAATGAAAACTTTTGCCCCCCCCCAATGAATTTCAGCATGAAGGATGCTAGCTGGGGGAACGTGGAACCTTCCCAGTATCCCCAGAAATTGTTCCTTTACTGCCTAGGAGTGGGTGACACCTACTTCTGCCTCCCTGACCTATGTAGGAGTTTTCTCCCCAAAGGGAAATGCCTCTGCTTTCTCATCTTAATGGAGAGTCAAAGAGAGAGCCCAGTGCGTGGGTGGAGGGGTGGCTCAGCGCCCAGCCCTGTTGACAGCTGTAGTCCTCACCGCAGGGCATGCCCCACACTCCCTGAGACACGCATTCAGGAGCAGCTGAGCCCCTGGACACCCCTAAAGGGAGAGTCTCCTCAGTCACTCCCCAACCCCGACCCCAAGTCAGCCCAAAGGCCTGGCTGCAGGGCTGGCCCCCCACCAAGGCACGCGTCTGTCTGTCTGTCTGTCTCTCTGGGCTCCAGTCCAACAAGCTTCGGACAAAAACCCTGCGGAACACCCGGAACCCCATCTGGAACGAGACCCTCGTCTATCACGGCATCACGGACGAGGACATGCAGAGGAAGACCCTCAGGTACCTGCCCGGCAGGCGGGCAGAGACACACGGGTGGTCCCCGGCGGTCACTTTTGAAAACCTCTTCGCATACTTTTTTTTCTTTCCTTTTTTTACTTCTACAAGACAGTATGTATTCCAGTAGATACTTCTAAGAATACAGATAAGTGAAACTCTTAACATCTCGGTGTCTGGGTGTCCGGGTTGTGTGTGTGCATAGCACACACGCACATGTGCAAAAGGTTCTTACAAAATTGAGTGTTTTGAAAGATGGACCATCATAGTAACTAATAAGCCTGTCTTTTTTTTTTTAATTTTTTTTAAAGATTTTATTTATTTTTTAGAGAGGGAAGGGAGAGGGAGAGAGAGAGAGAAACATCAATGTGCGGTTGCTGGGGGTCATGGCCTGCAACCCAGGCATGTACCCTGACTGGGAATTGAACCTGCGACACTTTGGTTCACAGCCCGAGCTCAATCCACTGAGCTACGCCAGCCAGGGCCTAATCAGCCTGTCTTACTTAACAAGACACTGATGCAGCTCATCTGCTTCCGCAGTGCTGTCTTATGCTGCATTTTAATGATACTGGTAATACCCAGGTACACTCTTCTGTAAACACTAACAGAGGAGGCAAAGCCCCTCTTAAAGGTTAGTTCCCTTCCGTGGCCTGGGTCTGCCTCCTCTTCCTCCTGTGAGCCTCTTGTTAGCCTCATGGAAAGTGTCGTGCTGTTTATATCTGGAACCTTCCTTTTCCCCTGACAGTATGTCCTGGAGTTACAGCCGTGAGAGACATTTGGATGTACCTAATTTCAGCTGCTCCACAGGATGAAATGATTACAGATTTGTTTAAAAGTTCATTATTAAATATTACAAATATGCAGAAAACTGTAGATTACAGTACAGCAAACACCCACGAACCCGGCACTCAGGTTTTTATAGTTGACCTTGAACAACCCGGGCTTGGACTCCAGGGTCCACTTCCATGTACGTCGTTTTCAGTAAACACTGCACGTGTATTTTCTCTCTTACCATCTTCTTAATAACATTTTCTTTTCTCTAGCTTATTTCATTGCTAGAATATAGTACACAATACATATAATAAACAGACTCTGTGTTAACTCTTTATATTATTGGTAAGGCTTCTGGCCAGCAGTAGGCCGCTAGCAGTTAAGTTTTGAGGGAGTCCAAAGTTATACGTGGATTTCCGACGGCACGGTGGGTCAGCACCTCTAAGCCCCGCGTTGTTCAAGGGTCAGCATATACGCAAGTGTGTACAAAAAGACAGGGAGGGGGATGCCCCATTGCTACTTTATTCCTAATAGCTCAAAACTAGAAACAGCCCAAAGCCAAATGCCCATCAGTAGCAGAGTTAGGATCATATATTTACCCGATGGAATACTATACAGCAATGAAAAGGACAAGTCACTACAGGCATGGATGAATCTCATGTACGTGTTGAGCAAAAGAAGCCATTCGCTTCCATTTATGTAAAGGTCAAACCCAGGACCGTGAACCCACGGGGCCAGAGGTCAAAGAGAGTGGTTATCTTTGACGGAGGTGGCAACAAGGGATCATGAAGGTCTTCTGAGAGCTGGAATGTTCTGTATCTTGATCCGGGCAGCAGTTACGTGGGTGTGTGCATGTGAACGATTCGGCAAGCTGTTCGTTTAAGGTGTGTGCCCATTACTGCTTGCAAGTTACACTGCGGTGAAGACGACAGGCTAACCACCTGGCTGAGGGCTCGGGACACAGACACTGAAATGTCCTCATGCACGCGACACACGCCTTGCCAGCATCCATCACGGTTCCTGGTACACAGTGAGAACATCTGCTGTTCCTTCTCTCCCCACCCTTTCCGCGGCTCGCAGGATCTCCGTCTGCGATGAGGACAAGTTTGGCCACAACGAGTTTATCGGCGAGACCAGGTTCTCCCTCAAGAAGCTGAAGCCCAACCAAAGGAAGAACTTCAATATCTGTCTGGAGCGGGTCATCCCCGTGAGTGCCTGCCTCTTCCTGGGGGCTCGAGGCTGGGGCAGGGGGGCAGCATTTGGGGGTGCAGCCTTCCCCTGGGCCTGCAGGGGGTGCAGCCTTCCCCTGGGCCTGCAGGCTGCCAGGCAGCAGAGATGTGGTGGCCTTTGAGAGGAGCGTGAGGATTTCCGCTCAGAGCATCGTGGCTGTGCCCTGACTCTGCCTTTTACTGGCCCCATGCGAGCCTCACTGCTCTGGATGGCAGGGTCCTCTGTGGTAAAACTGGGGAGGGCGGAGCACTGTGGCAGTGTGGCCAGCCTGGGTTCAAAGCCCAGCTCTGCGACGTGCCTGCTCCCCGGCCCCGGCCAAGCGTCTGAGCTATTCCAAGCCTCGGTTTTTCTTACCTGCCAACGGGCTTTCAGCACCCGCCTCATGGGAGCGCTGTGCGAAAGACATGATCAGAACAGAGCCTCGTGCGCAGTGAGCGCCACAGCTTGTTAACTGTTGTTATTAAAGGAATAATACTGCCCTACCCACCTGTCACTCATGAAGCCATAAAGCACCGCGCACCTAAGCAGGGGGCAGGATAGCACAGCGCTAGAGCAAGGACTCCGGAGCCAGAGTCTCTGGGTTTGAACCCTGGCTCTGCCATTCGTTCTAAACCTGGGCCAAGTTATTTAACCTCTCTGGGCCTTAACCTCTCACCCATAAAATGGGATAGTAGAGTGCCAGTTATTGTTGTTGGGTGCGATACTCGCCCTTTGAGAAAGAACAAGAACCAAGTTGAGAGCCTCCAACTGGGCTGCTCCTTGGAACCAACTGGAGATTTTAAAATCAGAGCTTCTGAAACGAAGATCCTGACCTCCTGAGGGAGGGTGGGTCTGCAGCCTGTATTTTTAGAGACAATCCGACCCCCCCTTTTGGATGCACAGGGGCCACCTGGGGCCCAGAGGGGCAGCGAGTCGCCCAGGTCACGCTGCACGCCAACGGCTGTGCCCAGCGCCAGCCAGGGCCAGGCCCCCTGCACGTGCCAGCCTGCCAGCTCCCCCGGGCAGAGGGCCAGCTCCCCACGGGGAAGCTGTGTCAGGTGGGAAGGGGAAGCTTGTAGCAACCTCCCACCAGGTGGCTGGCCCACAGACGGAATGTCTGCGTGCTGCGCGCGGGTTCGTGCCGCGCAGGCGAAGGAACAAGCCACGGCGGTGACGGTCGCAAGGAAGAACTGACACCGGGTGCCAGGTTCCAGATGAATCGCTGAGGGCAGCCCTGGGAGTGTCGCGTTTCCGCTCGGTCTTTGCCTGGTGACGGCAGGTCCCTCGGGCTTCCTCCTCCTTCCTCTTCCTTCCCTCACTCCGTGAGTCCCTTTGGTCCAGACAGCAGCCAGGCCCCCGCCCCCCGCCCCCCGCCCCCCCACCAGCCTGAGTCAGCAGCTCCTGGGCCCGCCCACCTCGCTCTGCTGGACCCTCCAGCCCCCGAGGCAGGGAGGGGGCGGGACCGCACGGGCCTCCGCTCACCGTCGCCTTTTGCTCTTTGTCCTTGGTCCTCCCACCACCAACTGCCCCCATACTCCCCACCAAGGACAGGGGCTGCGTAGGTGCTGCCCCTCCTCCCCTCTGGGCCTCAGTTTCCCTCGTCTCTAAAGTGGGGAGGCTGTCTTTAACCAGCGGCTGTCACACTCTGTTCCCCAGAGCCTTAGAGTCCCCCCAAAAGAACCTTGGGAGCCGTGGAGGAAGAAGCACCTGGTGGCCAGACCCCAAGACCCCCGTGCCACTCAGCCAGCGCAGATCGAATCCTATGTGTTTTGTGAATGGGGCGCTCTGCCACTCATTGGCTGTGTGACCTCGGGCAAGTGGCTTGACCACTCTGATCCTCAGTGTTCTCATCTGTAAAATGGGGCTATTAATACAACCCACAGCATAGGTTACGGTGCACTCCCATGGTGTCAAGTGGTTAATGTTGTAAATTTCAGCTTTAGTGGGGAGAGCTGGGGGGCCACAGAAGCTTGGAAAGCCTGTCCTTGTGGCTTGGGGTGCTGCTGGAGGGCTGAGGGTGCCTGGCCCTCCTCGCCCGGGGGGGTGAGCCCCATAGACAACGTGCTCTTTCCTTTCTGCTTCCTCCTAAGATGAAGCGCGCCGGGACCACCGGGTCCGCCCGAGGCATGGCCCTCTACGAGGAGGAGGTGAGCGCAGAGCACATGCCGAAGCCACAGCCGGGGCCTGGCGTCTCCCTTTCTCCCCTCCCGGGCCCCATCCCGACCCTTCCTCCCCAACCCCCTGCCCCTTGGGTCACGTGAGAGCTGCCCTTGCCCGAGGCGCTGGGGCGAGAGGCCAGGTGGATGCTCCACCCACCTGGAGCCCAGGTGGGGGGAGCCCCGTCCTCTCATGCCAGGGACACCCTTGAACTCCTTGGCCTTGTTGGCCAGGCCAAGATCCTGCAGGACTAGAGCAAGGCCACCGTCCCTCCGTGGGGGCGTCCCCTGGGCTGTGTGTGTGGCCAAGGCTGGGGTTGGGCGGCATGTCCGGGCCATCAGCCTAGGCCTCTGTGCGACCCCGGGGGCTGCATTTGTGAGAAGACCGGTTGTATCAGGGGAGTCTGAACTCAGGGTCAAGGCTCAGTCCTGGGGCAGAGTCGGGTCGTCGCTGGCCAGGATCAAACTCAGCCTGTCGCCAGAGTCAGGGCTTAGCCTGTGTCTGGGTCCAAGTAAAACCATTGGTCTCCTGTGCTTCAGACTGGCTCCCCAAGGCTTTCACCAGTCCCTCTCCCTGGAGCAGGGGGAGGGGGCAGGGATGGTCTGCTGTCCATGGTGCTGAATGCACCAGCGCTGGCCCAGCTCCTGCGCCTTCCCACGAGTGCTTCCCCGATGCTCCCCTCCAGTTGCCTGGCCTGCTCCCCGCCCAGGCTCACACGCCCTCTTCCCCTACTGCAGCAGGTGGAGCGCATCGGCGACATAGAGGAACGCGGCAAGATCCTGGTGTCCCTCATGTACAGCACACAGCAGGGAGGCCTCATCGTGGGCATCATACGTTGCGTGCACCTGGCTGCCATGGACGCCAACGGCTACTCAGATCCATTCGTCAAGCTGTGAGTCGGTGCCTTGGGACCGTGATCCGGCCCCAGAGGGGGCCCTGGGTCCTTCGAAAAGGGGGACCAGAGGGCTTCCCCAGCACCACTGTACACTGAGGCCCAGAGAGGGACACGGACCCGCCCAAGGGCACACAGTGAGACAGATGCTGGCTAAGGGTGAGGCTGGAGCCTCAGCAGTCAGACTGCTGTGTCGCTCACCTGTAGGAGAGGTTTGTGGCTCAGTCCCCTCCTGTGGGAGAGGGACAGCCAGCAAGGTCACAGCAGCCCCATTTGTAGCCCCCCAGGATCAGCACCCCACCCCCCAGGCGGCCGGAGCCCCACCACCAGAGCGGCAGTGTGGCCTTTTCCAGGTTCCGTCTGGGAACGCTCAGAAAGAAGACCTCAGCCTTTGGGGGTCATCCCAGCGACCTCACCCAGGGGGACTAGGAGAGACTTTGTCACCCATGTCAGGCAGGGTCCTCTGAGAAGATGCCATGATGGGACTAAAGTGACAAGGGTTTCCTTAAGGGACCTGCCTGTGTGGGGGGCGGGAGGGAGAGCTGGGGCAAGAGGAGGGCAGTCACGTGGCCTGAGAGAGGGCAGGGTAGACACTGCTGCACATGGCCGTCATCAGTGTCGATTCGAGATCCGATTTGCTCGTCCGCCACTCTCCTGACACTGGAAAGACCCTTTGGGGTCCTGTCACTAAGGGGCTATTCTTAGTCCTTAAACCTCACTCCTAACAGCCTCTTGTGTCTCCGCGCAGCTGGCTGAAACCGGACATGGGAAAGAAGGCCAAACACAAGACACAAATTAAGAAGAAAACCTTGAATCCTGAATTTAATGAGGTAAGGCCGCCCCATTTTGTCGTGCTACGGAGTAGTTCCTGTGTGTGAGAGAGAGGGAGGGGCTCCCTCCTCGGTGCTGTCAGGCACATCAAAAAACAAAACAAAACAAAAAAAAAACCTTTCTCTCATAGATCAGCTTGGATTATCTAAAGGATAGGTAATGAGTTTCCCGTCACTGGAGGGAATCAAGCCTAAAAGTAAAAACCTATAGATTAGGCAGGAAGCTGCGTTTGAAGAGATACAGAATTGCATCGTCTCCAATATCTTCACCAATTTTAACAGCCTATAATGCTGAAATTTGAGGGAATAAGCAGGGACAGTGATGCCCTTTCCCGTCCACCCAGTTGGTGTTGCCCTGTCGCTGTCCCTCTCCCCCCACATCCACCCAGGACATCAGGTCTTCCTAGAGCCACTGTCTAGATCCCCACTGAATGCGCCCCTTTCTCTGTGTTCACTCCCACCGCCTGGGCTTAGACTCTGGCATTTCATGCCTGGACTGTTGCAGTAGACCTCCGACTCACCTCCCAGCGCGTCGCCCATCTTCCGCAGAAGCATGAGCTTTCTAAAACACAAATCTACATGTGTCACTCCCTGCACCCCCGTCACCGCAGATGTACCCGTGGTTTAGCTACAAGGGTGCCTTTCATCCCATCGTTAAGAGTCAGGAAAAGTGAGAAACAACTAAAAACTCACCTGTCAGGCACTGGGTCACGGTACAGCCACAGGGCCGCAAGATGGAGCCATTATAATGGTGACGCAGAAAAGCGTTCACCAGCGGGCTGTGTTTTTTGCCGTGTGTTACATAAAAGGGAGAAAGAAAACCACAACGTGGTATATTCATACTATATTTCATGTAGTAGGATACACAAACATTTCATATACTGTAATATTCTAATTAATATTCCTATCACTTTTTAAAAGCACTGGAAACGTAAGCACCTCTTGCTCAGGTCGGTCCCAGTCCCCTCACCCACCTTTGATCCCTAAACGATGACGACGGGGAGAGCCGAGCTCATGGCCAGCTGCCTTCCGGGAAACCTGACCAGGACTGTGTTCTCAGTGAAACTCCACTGGCCTCCCCCCTTTCCAACAGAGAGCCCCCGGAGAGAGAATGGCAGGCCGGGAGGGACTTCGTTTTACAGAATGTCTGTGGGAAAGGGCTTGTCAGGCCTGGCCCAGAGGCTCAGTAGGAAGAACCCCTTGCTCCCAGGGTGCCTAGTTCAAGGGCCTCCCGCCAGTCCATGAACCCCTAGACCCCAGAGGCTCAGGGGACCCTCTGACTCCCACGTCCTCCTCTCTCGCATCCAGGAGTTCTTCTATGACATCAAACACAGTGACCTGGCGAAGAAGTCCCTGGACATCTCGGTCTGGGACTATGACATCGGCAAGTCCAACGACTACATCGGTGAGTGCGCCCCGTTCCCAGAGAAGCCCTGCCCTCTGTCTTCCTGGGACGGGAGAGCCTGGCCCAGGGCTGCCTGGCTGGCCAGGAGGGCCTTTCTCTTCTTGGGGCATATCGTCCAAATATGCGGGGTCAGAGCCCGTGGTCCCGATGCAGGTCCAGTCGGAGAGCCTGACTGCCTGGTTGCTGACCACACTGCCTCCAGCAGAACGGTTACCTCGCAGCAGCGTGGGGTCTGCGGCTCTGCAGAAGGCAGGGCGCGGAGGTTGTCTCCTCCCTCCATAGGCAGGTCTGGGATGAGGGTTCTAGTGTCCCCGGCCCCCCTCCGAATGATGAGGGGCAGCAGCCATGGGAGAGGGGGCAGGGTGTGAGCACAGGTGCGGGCGCAGGACTGGGCGGGGCGATGGAACTCTTTGAAAACAGAGGACGAGCTTCTACAGGCAGCGGGAGGCAAGTGTCCGTGGGTGGGCAGCGATGTCGGGGAAAGCCTTAACAAGCGGCCGTAGGAGCCACTGGCAGTTCCCGAGGGGGTGGTCAGTCCGCAGGCAGAGAGGGCCGGGAGCAGTAACCACGCCGTGGCCGTGACAACCGCCCTCCCGAGAGGTCGGATCCCGGGGCGCTGGCGAGGGGGGGGGGGGAGTCTCTGCCCGGTGGCGGTTTTCCCCAATCGGACATCTGGGTCCTGAATGAGAGTCCCACGTGTCCCCCCGCTCTGACCGCCTGTCCCCCCCTGCCCTCGTCCTCCAGGAGGCTGCCAGCTGGGGATCTCGGCCAAGGGAGAGCGCTTAAAACACTGGTACGAGTGTCTGAAAAACAAGGACAAGAAGATCGAGCGCTGGCACCAGCTACAGAACGAGAACCACGTGTCGAGCGACTAGGATGGTGCCCAGGTCTCCGGCTCCATGTCCCGCCCCCTGCCCAGCTCACACCCCGCCCCCCGGCCTGACCCGACAGCCCACGGCACTCTGCTCTCTCTTCTCTACGCCCGTCCCCTGCCACCCTCCCTGCGCCTCTCTTTGGGGTCTCCCCCTCACCTTGGGCACTGCCGCCAAAGACCGCCTCCTCCCTCCGCCACGCTGCTGCTGCTGCTGCCGTGATGAGATGCGGGCTCTGAACCCGGCCCCTTTCTGGTCTCCCCAGGATGGGGCCGTCAGGGCAGGGGTGGGGGAATTCGTACAAGGAGGCTGTTCGTTCCACAGCCTTCCAGTGTGGGCAGTTACAAGCGGTTTTCATCACTTAGGACTGTTTGGAGACCCTCCTGGCCTTGAACAGACACACACACACACACACACACACACACACACACAACTGGTGTTTCCCGTGTCGCGTCTGTGGATCCCCTCAGCGCTGTGGGGACCCTGTGTTCGGGGGCAGACGTGGAACAGCCAGGGCCCCGCCACCTCTGCACACATACACCCCAGTTGCCAGGGAAACGGGCCACCGTGTTCAAGCTCCCTGGTGACCAGGAACACACCCTCCCAGCCCCCAGATACTTTGAGAAGTGGACCTGAAAAATACATAAAGGGACTCCGGTAACCTCCTCCTTCAGGATGTCACCTGTTTGCTTCCTAGCAAGAAAACGACACCTGTTTTCTAGTCCCCCCCACTCTCTGTCCCTTTCTGTCCCACCCACCACATGAAACTCTCCCTTTCTACCCCACCCCTCGCTCCTTCTCCAAAGGGGTTAAATAGCAAAAGCAAAAAATATCTTAACACCGCCTCATGCCCTGGCTTCCTCTCACCACCAGCCAGGCCAGCAGAACCTGAAATTCCACCTGTACACTCTTCAAGCTACCCACTTCTGTTGGCATGGCCGGGTGGCCCTGGGCCGAGGGCCCTTCACATTCTGCGGGCTGTGTAGACGCCCCCCACAGGAGCTTTCCCGGCCCCGGGGGGCCCCCCCAGGTGCACGCAGAAGGTATCTGGAAACCCAAGCTCTGGGCTCAAGGGGGGCCTCGCCGAAGCCCCCAGCATTGGGTTTCTCCTTCCTCTGCTCTTAGTTACATGAACCCACAACCCCCGTCCCTGAAGCTCTGACTCTCTTCTCCGGCGCTCTTGCCCCGCGTCTCACGCAGAGTAGCCTCAGACTCGTCTGTCTCCATCCGCCTGTCTGTCTCCGCCCCTCCCACCCTCCGCCGTGTGTATTGGAAGACTACAAGCCCGACACCGCGCATCTAGAACTTAGTGACAGAGCCCGATATGCTAACAGCTCTTAGTCCATCAGGAATCGTCCAGACTTTTTCCTAAAAAAAAAAAAAAAAAAAATGGTTTAAGGAGAGAAAGGCAGGGAGGACGAACATACGTTTGAGGTTGGGTCTGGGCAGCCTTCGGCGCCCCACAAAAAAAGTCTGGGTTTTCCCCGGCTGCCCTGTACAAACCCCCCCGCCCTGCCCGCCTGCCCACGGCCGTCTGCAGGGGTCCTCAGGTGGGCGCGCAGACGCTCGCCTTCTCCAAACGCTCGCCCTTCGGCCCTCCTGTCTGCGTTCTCCACCCCCAGCTCTCCGTGCGGTTCATTGGCCGGCACCAATTTCTCGCCCCGGTCACCCCTCTCTAAACAGCAAGTTCTCCGCCTTCCCCGAGGCGGCCAGCAGCTTCCTGGCTGCCGTCTTCCCCCCGTGGCCCCCTCCTTCCCACGGCCCGCCCTGAGGAGAAAGCATGCTGGCTGCGTGGCCCAAGCCTGACGCTGGTCTTGGCGCTGGAATCAGCATGTGGCAAGCTCGCGGCGCCCGCAGTCCGGGCGCAGGCGCTCTCCGCTGTCCCCACCAACATAACCGTCCCCCTCTCCCCCCCACCCCACCCCACCCAGAATACACTCTCGCCTTCCGGTGCATGCAGAACCGTCCACTGCGTTTCTTTGTGATGATGTAACCAAAAATAAAGTAGGAATATTCAGGAAAACTGGTGGCCTCTGCTCCTTCCTTTCTGGCTTCTGGACGTCCATCCCCCCCCCCACCCCCACCAGGATACATGGTGCTACTCGGCTAGTCAGTGTTTCATGAGCATCTACTATGTTCCAGCCACTGGGGACATGGCGGTGAACAAGGAAGGCGTGGGCTGGGCTCCGCCCACGGGGAGTTTGCTTTCTGGCGGGTTTCATCTTGGGCTCAAGGCAACTCCTCTGACCCCGCCCCCTCAGGAGAGGGCTTTGTGCTGGCGCCCGCACCAGCCAGGCAGCATCCGCACCTTCTCCCTCCTTCCCCAGCCTTTCCCCAGGCGAAAAGAGACGGTAGAGTCGATCCAGGGCCCAGTTCAGTCAGCTCGCCCACCTGCCACATGAGTGACCCCAAGCCCAGAGAAGGGAAGGTCTTAGCACAGCAGCGCCAGGGAGGGAGCCGGGTTGCCGGGCAACCTCGACACCTCGGTTGGCACTAACAGCACCATCAAACCCCTCCTTCTCATTGCTCGCCTCCCCTCCTGCAACCAACGAGCCTTCCCCAGGGCCCCTCCTCACTCGAGAGCCCCAGCCTGCCCGCCGGGGAGTGGAGCAGGGAACACTCAGTGGAATTCTTCCTCTCACTGCAGCTGATCCCAGAAGAGCTCAGGCAGTGGATCAGGAGTGCTGGGCACTTCCCAGAAGGAGCAGCCAGCTGCTGCCCACAGACACTTCTCTTCCAGGCCAAGTCTGAGACAAGTCCCCGCTCCCGGCTCTCGCCCCCAAAGGGGCGGCGCGTCTCCTGGGGAGGTTTCTCCTTGCACCCCACCCGGGCTCTGCCCGCCACCTCCCGGCGCCCAGAAGATTCTGCTCTGTCCGGGGGACACGGTGTCTATCAAAAAGCATTTCCTTGGGTGACCTCTGTGCGTACACCCCCACCGAAGCTGCCCTAGAGTCCTGTTTTTTTCTACCATCCAGCTAGCAGCCACCACGTGGACAGCGGTGCTGATGAGGGCCACCCAGGCAGGGCCGCACAGGCCTCCCAGGAATGGCAGGCCACACTTGTTGCCTCTCTCCCCGCCCCGGGCTCACAGCATTCACCACTAATCCATAGGGCATCCTTCCCCCGGAGCCTGCTAGCGGCCTCTGAATCCTTCTTAACACAGCAATCTCAGCCACCGCCACCACCCAGTTACGGGCAATGGAAAAGAAACAGATTGCCACCTCAAATGCTTGGTCTCCCTCCCCAGGCGCGGGCACGTGCCAAAGAAGCAGAGAGAAAGACATGAGGAAGGGTGATCGTCAGTATGTCTGACTCGGCTCATGACCTTTTTCCTCCCATTGACATAAAACAGAGGCAACACAAGGTGGTAGAAAGCAGCAAACCAAAAATGCATACCAGCTTTTCAACCCACTCGAGTTCATCATTCGGGTCCCGAGTGGCTGTCACCTTCCGGGGGTGGAGCCTCACCTCTCTGAGTTTCAGTTTCCTCACCCGGAACGTGGCAACAATAATAAATACTTCCGAGAGGTGAGACCAAGTGCCAAGGTCTGGTCCCCCCCGCAGGCCTGACAAAGGTGAGGAGGCCCGGGAAGGGGAGTGGAGGGTCAAAGGGCGCGTGGTTCCTGGTGAATGCAGCAGAGGCTGGCCCACGGCCAGGTGGATTAAACAGTCCGTCCCCTGAAACCCGCGGGCGGGCCCCTCCTCGGTGCAGGCGGCCTTGCCCGGGGTCATTGGCCTAATAAGGTTAAACAACCCGTCGCAGCAGCACGGGAATACCCATCGCCATGGAACAGGTATGTCTTTGCTTGGCTCTGGCCCCAAACTGCCGTGTGCTCTTGAGCAAGTCGTGTCTTCCTGTGGGTCCTCCAGTTCATAGGTGGGACGCCAGAGTGTCACAATGCTCTGACTTGGCTGCCAGGGCCCTCACAGGGGCCTTCATTTTTCAATCTTTCAAGAATGACCCAGGCCTCTGCGCTGAGGGCAGGCCCCTGAGGAGTCCAGCACGTTCTGTCCTGAACAAAGCACACCAGAATGCGCCGTCTGGAACCTCCTTTCACGTGTCCTGAATGGGCACCAGAACTTAAAGCCGCCTGCAGAGGCCCGAGGGCGAAACTCTGGATCCCTCCAAGTATGTCCTCAGTCTCTTCCAGTTGTCTCGCCCTTACCTAATTCTACACAATGCTTTGTGAAGCTTGCCTTTACTGCATCTTTCCAGAGAGTTCCATGGCGGCTTTCTAAAGACAGGTCTCTTTTGCACTTGTGTGGAGTCTAATATATATGTGTAGTCCAAAGTATACACTTTGTTCACGAGTACAATCCCCATCAAGGCACTGGGGAGCCAGCGGGATCTTTATCACACATACGATCCCACTGGGGGGGCAAGGTGTGCGTTCCAAAGGCGGACGCCCACGCCTCTGCGGTTACGTTTTCACCTTGAGCAAAAGTCCACACGGTATACAGGAAGAGGGAGTGTCAATTAATTGATGTGCTGGTTAAGAGAAGGGTGATTGGCCCTGAGCAGTGTGGCTCAATGGGTCGGGCATCGTCCCGCAAGGTCGCCAGTTCGATTCCTGGTCAGGACTCATGCCTGGGTTGCTGGTTCGACCCCCAGTCAGGGCAGGTACGAGAGGCAACTGATCGATGTTGCTTTCTCACATCAATGTTTCTCTTTCTTTTTTCTTCCCTTCCCCTCTCCTTAAAAAAAGAGAAGGGTCATTACGAAAGCTAGCTAATGAGTGTCTACACACGACTTCCTCCAACAATAACAGAATGCACACTTCCTGAGCACACCAGAAACACTCGCCAGGACAGACCACACTCGGGCCACAAAACACGCCTTCCCACAGTCCAAAGGATGGGCATCATCAAGCCTACCCTCTACCACAATGGAATCGGACACTCCATCAATAAAAGAAAGCTACCTGGAAAATTCCAAAATACCTGGAGACTAAATCACACACTTTTAACTAACACGTGGGTCAAAGGATGCTCAGGAGAAACGGAAAACTATCTCGCACTCACTGCCCATGAAAAGAACAATCGTTAAAAGGGTGGGCTCAAGTGGGACCAGTGGTGGGGGGAGCTTCCTGGCACGGAACGCATGTGTCAGAAAAGAAGAAACATTTGCCCCAAGAGGAGTGAATGAGCGGGACAAGGGGAAACTGTCCTCCGTGATTTTACAATGGTGAGTGCATGACATCATGCATTGTTCAAACCCAGGGAGTGTCCACCATAGAGCGAACCCTCATGGGAACTCCAAATTCTGTTTGGTTGATGATAATGAATCAATAGCAACTCACTTCTTACAACGAATGCACTCAGGTTAAAAACAGTCAAAATTATGGGTGGAAGGAGAGGAGACATATATGAATTCTGCACTTTCTGTTCAATCTTTCTGTCAAACTAAAACTGCTGTAAGAAATAAAGTCTATTAATCAAAAGGGGAAAAAAGTATAGTAGGATGCCGTTAAAAAAAAAAGCAAAGGAAAGAGAATCATGAATTTTCGTGTGTAGGTGTGTGTGTTAACCTAGGAAAGCTTCTGAAAAGATCTACCCCCCAAATGTGCACAGTGGTCACCTCTGAGGTTTGGGGTTACGAAAGGGGTTTTCTGCCTCCCAAGTTTTCCCTCTTTGCAGTACGCACCTACAGTGTGGGAAAGACTGTAGGAGACTATAGAACAATTTTGTCACAAGCACCACGAAAAACTGGGAAGAAGAAAAAAACCAAAACCCGGTTTTCAGTCCTTATTTCTCGGGGGCGAGGCGTGGATGGGGGTTCAACAGCAATGTCTCCCAAGTGCAGTCTGAGGGGACGCAAGTGCTGGAGGCAGATTTTCAGCTCCTGGATCTGGAGGGACACTCCCCAGGGGGTTTGACCTGATAAGAAGCAAGAATGTAGCTCCTCCCTTCCCCCAGGAAACGAAACCGAGAGCAGCTGGGACCTGGGCAATATAAAAGACAGCCGCTGCTGGTTTCCTTCGCCACTGGCTTTCCTGTCCCGCCGGAGCATCCTGATGGAGCTGCGAAGGACCTCAGCCAGGGATCTGGACAAGTTCATCGAAGACCACCTCCTGCCAGACGGCCCTTTCCGAGACAGGGTCAATGAAGCCATTGACATCATCTGCAGCTTCCTGAAGGAGAGGTGTTTCCTCCGAGGTGGCGGCCGCTCTGTCCGGGTGTTGAAGGTGGTAAAGGTGAGCCCACCTGCCTGCCAGAACGGGGGGTGGAGGGGGCGTGGCCGAACGGGCACCAGCTTCCCCAGTGAAAGAGAGAGAGCAAAAACATGGAGGTCTTGGGGGCTGGTGGTTTCAAACTGACCCGCACCAGAAACATAAGCGCAGCATGTGAAAACAGACTCTGGGGTCAGGTCCGATGCCTGTAACTGTTTCACACAGGCCCAGGTGAAGTTCAGGAACCACCGTCCCGGGCCACGTCCATTTCTGAGACAGGGGCACTGGGGCCCAGCTCTGAGCTACAATCTGCTAATGAATGGCCAGGCCGAGGGCTCACCACTTCTGCAGCTTAGTAAGAGTACAGATTCTGACAGAGTGGTGATTGCCTGAGGTGAAGAGGGGGTGGGGGGAGGGCGAAGAGGATAAAAAAAGGGTCGAACACAAGGTGACACAAGGAGACTAGGCCTGGATGGTGAGCACATGATAAAGCACACAGATGCCGTATTACAAAACTGTATACTTGAAATTTATACAATGTTGTAGTAACCAACATTACCCTTAGTACATTTAATAGTAATTGCAAAAAGAGTATGCATTTTAAAAGCAGACAGCACCTACTGGCTCTAAATCTTGAGCAAGTCACTTAACCGCTCTGTGCCTCAGTTTCCCCATCAGAAACTCCCTATACCTTGCAGGGCTGTGCAGATTAAGTAAGCCACCCAGCATGGGCCAGACTGCAGTATGGAATGATATATAAGACAGGAAAGGCCGGGGAGTGGAGAACACAGACTCCAGGACAAGGCAGCTGGGGTTTGAACTGTGTCTCTGCTGCCTGTCAGCTGTGGCTCAGGCTGACCTATGACCTCCCTGAGCACCTGTAAGGTGGGGACTAATAGCAACAGTGCCTAAATGGCAAAGTCCTTGGGAGCATCGTATGAGTCAAAACTGGCGATGCCCTCAGAACTGTGGCTAGTGCTCATGAACGTTAGTGATGCCCTGGCTGGTGCGGCTCAGTGGACGGAGCGCCGGCCTGCGAACCAAAGGATGGCTGATTTCCAATTCCCAGTCAGGGCACCCCCCTCACCCCGGGCTGTGGGCGGGGTCCTGGGTGGGGGCGTGTGAGAGGCAACCACACAATGAGGTTTCCTCTCCCTGTCTCCCTCCCTTCCCCTCTCTCTAAAAATAGATAAATAAATAAGCATCCTTTTGAAAAAAGAAAGAAAGGAATGTTAGTGATTGTTCTCATTTGATTTAGGAAGGCTCTTCTCAAAAAAAAAAAAAAAGTCAGATCCCTTTCTCCCCCTCTGTTGCAGGGCGGCTCCTCCGGCAAAGGCACCACCCTCAGAGGCCGGTCCGATGCTGACCTCGTGGTCTTCCTGAGCACCTTCGGGAGTTTTCAGGAGCAGTTTGATCACCGAAAAGAGTTCATCCAGGAAATCAGAAGGCAGCTGGAAGCCTGCAAAAGAGAGAAAATGTTTGGGGTGCAGTTTGAGATCCAGAACAACACAGCGACGCTGCAGAGTCACAGCACAGCGATGCTGCAGAGCCACAGATGGGGGAACGGCCGGGTGATACAGAACCCTCGCTCACTCAGCTTCACACTCTCCCATGGCCCTTCCTGGAGCTGTCCCCAGAAGGGGGTGGAGTTTGATGTCCTGCCCGCCTTTGATGTCCTGGGTGAGTGCCCCCCCCCCACCCGACACCACACCAGGGTGCCAGCCTCTGCCCTAAGTCAGGGCTCCTGTCTCTCTCTTTTCCCATTTCTGATCAGAAATCTCTCAGGGTCTGAAAGTCTTCCCAAAACCAGGCAGCCCTTTCAAACGGGAAAGAAGTCTTAGATTCTCCTCTGGGGAGAGAATGAAGGAGGTCTGATGGGTCGCGGGAGCGACATTAAGCAGCGAATCGGCACAATTTGGGAGCAAGGCATTTCTTAGCAAGCCTGCAAGGCGAAGTGGTTCAGCTTTGCACAGGTGTCAGGTCAACATGTTCATTTCATCTTTCACCCCAAAACGTGAGGAGGCCTCATCACACTTACAACGAGGGGTGGGATCTCCAAGAGGGGACGCACGAGGAACACACCAAAACTCTGAAAGCACCAGAAATGAGAAGAGTTTGGGACTATCCCTTGCTGTGTGCTGTGCTGCCTGCTAGGGTACAACGGTTCCCCCTCCCAAAAGGATAATAATAAGAAGCGTAGAGAGAGAAGGGGAGGAAGGGCGTACCAGCCAGAGGGAACAGCATGGGCAAAGGCCTAGAGGTTAGAGAAGGTCTGTGTGTAGCGAGGGAAATGCAAGACGCCGCCGAGGGTGAATGGAGAGCAGAGGGCAAGGCGGACGTGACCGATAAAGCAGCC